GTTCTTTATATTTTTGAGGTTTGTTTTGATTGTCCTGTTGTTTTTGTCTACATTCAGAAATACTATGTCCGTATCGTCGGCAATAATTACACCATTTTTTGAAAGATGGTTTGCCTTTAAAGTTTGGATGTTTTTCATAAATATTGAGTATTTCAGTGATTTTTTCAACGAGGTCTGTATCTGATTCCTGTATATTGTTGATATTTGTGGTATTTGTTTCAATTCGGTTAACATATTGTAATTTCAGATTTTCTGTTTCTTCAAGTTTCATTGTGATTTCCGCTTGCTCTAGTTTGTCTACTAGTTTTCAAAAATCTAAATCGGGCTCTCGAATTGAGGAGGGATGGGATGCTCTCTTTTTTATTGCTATTTTCCTTAATTGAGGTGTTAAGGTCATCATTAAGATTTCTGTCATTTTTGTGTTTTTATAGTCGTGTGTATTTAATGAATATGCTTTTCGAACTAGTGTTTCGATACGTACTGCTTATTGTTTGATGGTTTCATTTGGTAATCTGCGAATTTCATTACATAAAACTCTTTGCTGTTGTTTGTTTCTTTCGGAGTCAAACATTTTTGAAAATTCTTGTGTAAATCTTTTCCAATTTGATTTTATTTCTATAGGCAATACTGAAAACCATTTTTGGGCTGCGTTGTCTAAGGTTGTCTGTATCAACGCTGTGCGTCGATGTATCCAGTTTTGATGTAGTGGCGTATTAATTGGTTCAGGTCCTATATTTAAAATTAAATTTGCTGTTACTGCATTTAAATAATCTTCTACAGAATATTCAGGGTCTGTTCCTGTGAATACCATTAATGGTTTGTTTGATGTTATTGATGATCCACCCATAAGGTATGGATTCATTGTCATTTGTAATGATTCTGCTGCATTGGGCATTTGTGAGAAATTTGAAAGTTGATTTTTTGTTATTTCGTGTTGTTGAAGGTAATATGGAAGTGGTATTTCATTTTGCATTTGTGTTGGTTGATATGAGTGTGTAATCATTGGGTTTTGTGGCTGAATTGGTTGAAAAGATTGTGTATTAATTGGGTTTTGCATTTGTATTGGTTGTTGATTTTGTGTATCTATTTGATGTGGAGAAAAAATTCTATGATATGTATATGGTTTTTGCACTCCTTGTCCGCGATATTCTTGGGTATATGGTGCAAATATATTTGGTTGTAAATAATCATCATCAGAGGATAGGTAATCCGTTTGATGAGGTGTTTGTTTTTTATTTTTATTCTGTTGAAAGAATTGGTAATTTTCACTACGATCCTGTGGAGGATGTGAATTAGTTTGAAAATTTACTGAGTTGGTTGTTGCCATTGGATTATCCCAATATCGAGATCTTATCTGATTATTATTTTTTTTTCGTGGGGGATAGTTTGTTTTTGATGAATGTGTGTAATTATATTTGTGTTCCGCAAAATTGTTTCTTGTGAACTTTCTGCGTGTTTTTGACGGTATTGTCATGGGTCTATATGTTTGATAATCCATTTCTGAATATTTTGGAGCAACCGAAGGTTTAACGGTTGATTGTAAGGTTACCTGTGCTAGTGAAGTGTTTGTATTTCTTGGTGTTGTTAAATTTGGACGTATCGGTGAAATACTTTGTTGTGTAGTTGTTGTTGTTGTTTGGACAATTTCTTCATTTATGAAGTGTGATGGTGTCTGAATATCTTGTTGAGTGAGATTCCTAGTTCCATTAAGGTTTTCATTGTGTATGACGGACGAATTTAAACTGTTATGTCGCGTATCAGGTAAAAATGTATTGTAGTTTAATGGTGTTGCATCAATGGTTAATGGTACTACTCTTACATAATCTCTTGTATAAGATATTGTACTTATTGCTTGACTTGAGATTGATTGTGGGATATTTATGAATGCATAATGAGACCATTCGGGGTCCCAAACGTAGTCTGATTGTTCTGTGATGGCGGTATCATCGTTTGAATTTTGAGGTCTAAAAATTTTTCTTGCTTGTGAAATTAAATCTATATTATGTGTGAAATAATCTATTATAAACCATGCCAAAATTTTTTGTAAGTCATGTTTTGTATGTTGTGAAACTTCATCTTTAGTGAAATTTTCTTTAATTATATGTAGGAAAGTTGAAAATAGTGTGATTTCATGTCGTACCTTTATATGTTTAGATGTCTCTGTCGGTGAGACATTTGGGATTGGGATTTCGTTTTCTAATATTGAGATATAACTATATATTATTGCAAAAACTTCATTAGTAAATATGGAGTTTGCTCTTTGTGAGTTATGATATTGTATGCTTTTTATTTATTCTGAGAATACTTTTGAAAATTCTAAATCAAGGTCGTCTGTTTGAATTACATATTTGCGATGATTCGGGTTTGGTGAGCTGAATTCTATGGTGTAGGTTCCGTATTGTTGTGTCAAATTACATATATCTTTCAGATAGTGATCAATAATTTGTCTTTTAATTTTTACATCTGGGAACTCTGCTTTACATGGGCTGATTCCGGGTTCAAATAAATTTAGGAGTAAATTCTTGCAAAAATCATGCTGTCCTCTATTATCGGGTGCATCTACGAGGAAGGGGTAGATATCGTCATCATCTGGACTATCTTCACTTGGAGTGTGTGTTTGGCTCATTTTTTCGTTTAATGACTGTTAATAGGTAATTATCGATGTGTCCAATCGGTTGATTCCAATTATATAAATGTACTGGTTTGTGTTTATATTGCTTTTTTATTCTTCTTTTTCCTCTTTTTGATGAATTTGAAGTTGTTTCTGAGTCGGAAAAATATAATTGATCGTGAATGGGGCAATTTTTATCTATAGATTCTTTTAATTTTTAAAGTTCGTCTAAATTGCTGGCTTCTGATTCTGAAAATGCGTTTCTATTTTTGGAAAATCTTTTTCGTGTTATTTGTCTTTGTTTGGTTATTATTTTCCTTTTTAGTGTTTGTCGTTTTGTTCTAATATATCCAACTGTTTGTGTATGAGGTGTGATTACAAGGTCGTATTTTTTGTTATCTATTTCACAGTTGTGTAAAACGATTGTTTGTTTGTTTCCTAGATTTTTAAATGACATAAGGTTTAGGATGACGGATGCAAAATTTGTTAGATGATTTCTATTTTCTTAAACTGTTAGTTCTTACGATTTTTTTTCGTTAGCTTAACCTGGGTCTATCTTTCAGGGTTGGAGAGAAAAGTATATCGATTCCGAAGAATGATTTTTTACTTTCTCGTGGCTAGTATAAGCTAAGGTGTTAACTTACTTAATCTTACTTAGGGGTAGTGATTGTGTTCAAGGGTTGGAGAATAGTAAATCGATCCACAAGTTTCAGGTATAATTAGAACGCGAGTGGTTCGTTAGATACTATTTTAAACTTACTAAGTCTAAGATTTATCCTGGGTCTTGATAAGAGGAGGGTTCAAGTGAAGGATGAATTACCGAAGTTCTTCACTGTTTATCCTAATTTGAATGATTAGTTTTGTTCAAAAATTTCTATTAGTCTTGGGTTTTTTGAAAGGGTTGGATAGTGAATCGACGTTTGAGGTCGTTAGACACTAGCTAAGTGGGTGGGGGAGAACAAAATTGTTCTTTTTGATCCAAGGATAGGCCTTGATGATCAAGTTTTAAATTTAATTAAATAGAAAATGAATTAAGATCCAAGGATAAGCCTTGATGATCTGATTTTAAAATTAAGTGAATTTAAGTTTAAAATGGTTTAAATTTGTTTAAGAAAAAGATTTAGTTTTTTAATGATATTAGTGAGCTTATGAATGCTGTTATGTTTAGGTGATGAAGCTGGGACAACTGATGATTTTATGATTACTAACAGTTTATTGTCATGCTACTAATTCTTGTTTTGATTTTCAATAAATATTTTCCAAACATGTTTTATATAATACTGCAGAATTTTAGGAAAACGATCTGAGATCTTTTTATCGATCGTTATTGTATATTAATAGTTTTGTTTAGCACCTGAGATGATTATGAAGATTGACTTCAAGATTTTATGTTTGCAAATGAAAATCTAAATATAAAAGTCTGTGTTGGCTTTTGCCGTACTATCATATAACTATTTGGTAAGTTTCTACTTTGTCGTATGTCGTCTCTGGTTCGAGGTCTTCTTGCAATTCCGGATAGTTCTGTTATCGTTCGGAATATTGGCTCTGATCTATTGAGTCGTAGAGACATTTCGATTAAATTATCGTCGTATAACATTTTAAAAATGTTTTGTCTAAATTCTAATCTTTTTTTGGTTAATTCTAAGCTATTAAGGTCTTGTTCGAGACTTATGGTCGCACCAGATGAGTTAGGATCGATGTGGTTAACTCATAGAGTAATTTCGGATAGGGTACACCGTCTGCTCGTCACGCTATCTTATTTTCGGCCGGATAGATTCGTGCAACTTCTTAGTCTAATACCGATCCTAATCTTACTCTTATACTATCTAGTCTCAGGTTGTTTAACTAGTCTCTGCTAGGCTCAATAGATCTAGGGTATACTGGTTTATTGCGGCTGCTGAAGTTCTCTTGGAGAGGCAACTAATTTCTAAGTTAAATTCAAATCTCTCTGGTGCTGAAATTACAAGTAATTTCAGCACTTACAAATAAGTGGGTTGTTAGTTAAATGGATCATGATTGGTTAATATTAAATACTTTACAGTGGTAAAATATCTAATTTATCCAATCATAAAATATAGTTTAGATCAGGTTCCAATTGTCAGGTATTTTCACAAGACCTTATTTTAAATAACCAATTTGAAGAGCGAAAAATCAGAAAAATTAAAACTTGTAAGTGGTTGACATTTGAGGCAAACTTGAATAAAAACTTTCGCAGAGAAGCTTTGAATTGAACTCTAAGCATAAATGCAATAATAAATTTCTATCTTGTTAGCCCATAAAAATCAGAAGATGATCAATAAAGCAAAACATAGAATTCGCTATGTTTTGATGATCTGCTTGCGACATCAATGATTCAGATTGTTCCGATCATTGATGGGAATTGTTTTAGGACCTCGACGACAAAATCACCTCTAAAGTAGACGCTTTCAACAAATATGGAGGAGTTGAAATGTACAATCCGGATGAAGCAAAAATACGGGAGAGACTTTTCAAGGAAAAAACTGGACTTCTCTTGCGCGACTTCGACAAACTCATTCCTGCAATTGCTCTTGAAATTGCCGCAGAAGAAACCCAAAACGTCACCCAGTTAGAAACTATTCAAAACTCGCTATTCGGCGCCAATTTGTTGACAGATACCCAAGATCAAGACACCCAGAGAACCACCGGAAGAATCATGGACATGGATTTGTACCGAATGCCGAAAGAACCTGCAGCTTTTGCTGGGTCTAAAAGCAAAGTTATTCCACCAATCGGAAAACCGAAGTTCGCGCCTGAATACAATCTCAATTCGCCCTCTAGTGGTGAAATGGCTGGAGTCGCACATGCTCAGCATTTGATGAAAGCGAATCATTTGAAAATAGCAAAATTCGTTTACCTTCAACCTGTCAGCACCGAGGAGCCGTACAGTTTAGAGCTGATTGACAAAAGACATGCAAAAGGGGAACACTATCTGATGTCTAACTTTGGGATTTTGAGGGTTCACAACGATGGATTCGTTGAATCAATGTCGCTGGCTGACTGGCATCGCGAGGCTCTCATCTACCGGACTCTTAGAAGTCTCAAATTTTTCAAACAGTTTAAAATTAAAAAGCACTTCAAATTGTGGAGACGTGGGGCAAACTTGAACAAAATGACCAATGTGAGGCTGTTTCTGGAGGAGAGACTGCTTCTTGGGACGCCTTCGTTCAATGTGGCCTTCTGCCATTTGCACAAGTTGCTAATGGAACTTGAAACTGTGGGAGTGGTGCCTGTAATAGAGGTTGTGGATCCTATAACGCTAGCAGGTGAATTTTTGTGGAATGATTTTATTTGAAATACTAGGATTTAAATTTTGAACCATATTTTTTGTTCGTCTTCTGTTGCTCCGACCACTGAAAAAGGGGGAACTTTGTATTCGGGTGTGTTTTAGGTTTTTTTTTCTGTTTTGTTTTCTGCGCAAATGCAGGTACCAAACATAATCATTAGAAAGTATCAAGCGATATATCATGTTAAAGCCCTGATTTGTAGTTGCGATTTGGACCCTTCTAAAATATTCCAAAAAAAATTCCGCAGCTTAGAGGAAATCCGCTTTAAACTTTTTGCAGCGCACGTGCAATTTGAACCCGAAATCATATGATTGCTGGGCAACATCACTACCGATGCGCCACAACGCTTTCTTGAGAATAAAAAAAAATCCTTGTTTTCAATTTTTTTCTATTTTCTGAACAAATTTTTGATAAAACCATTGTCAGATGTGTGTATTATGCACTCACTATCAAATGAACCTAAAATTCTAGGCTTTTATTCATAACCGCTTATAGCCCAACGAACAAAAACCATCATCAAAGATAAGTTGCGTTTTTTTCTAGATTTAATTTTTGTGATCGGAACTTTCGTTGCTCCTTGCACAGCAACCGGTTGCCTTTGTTTCTTGGAACTTTTTCTTTTCTTAACATACTTTGTAAATACTAGTTTGATTTTCTTTTCCTTTCCGAGAATTCCAGTTCATTTATGTTTACACTGGAAGACTGATTAGCTAGGCAAATCGTTTCTGCATCTATTTTGAACACGAAAGCCAGTTATGCATTTTTAGAATTCCAAGAAGTTGTGCAGACGAAAAAAATATTCCTTCAGAAAGTGCTGAAAAAGTTCTACGAGTATTCTGCTATCATCATCAACACCACTCGTGATAAAATCCTGGAGAAGCTTCAACTGTGTGAACAAAAAGTGAACACCAAGTAAGATTCGAACCCAAAACGTCAACTTTGACAAAAATTAAAAGAACAAACGAAATATTGCAACAATTTTTTATTCAAAACTGAATTAATCTTAAGAACTGTTTGAAAGATAATTTTTTCATAATAAGTCTCGTTATTAATGTCTTCCGCGACAATAAATCTCTTTTAATTTTTTAATAATATATCCCTATTAATTATTTATGTCGTCGACGAAAAAAAACTGAAAATTTTTTGGTGAGAAAAAATATGTTTAGGCCGAAGGCACACGTGAAGGTGAGTTTGTCGCAGCAAAAGGCGATTTGTGAGGAAAATGAGCGCAAACTTCTTCTTGCTAGAAGGGAGGCACTTCAACTGGGAAACTTCGTGCAGTTATTCGAGCGATATGTGGCCGAATATTTGGTCACATTCACAAGGTAGCATTTAAAAAGTAATGGGTTTTTTCACGCTCCTCTCATCGTCTAGTTTTTTGTAAAACTTTCCAATTTTTTCCAGTCTGTTCTAGCTTTAAGGAACATTTCTAAAATTTTGATGACCGAAGAAAAAGTGTTATACTAAAACCTGCAAGTCTATTTAATTTTACCATCTCATTTTCATCAATGGTTAAGTCCAATATAGATCAAAATAAAGTAACCAGTGCAGGATTTTCTTGAGGGGGGTCGGATTTTCAATACTTTTTTGACATTTTATCGACATATTTTTAGGTCGACCAAAACGATTTTCCGAGCTCTCCCAAATCACTACAAGGACCCTATTTTGACCAAATATTTAATAGAAAAATTTTTAGGCACTTTTTAGAAAATTTTGACCAGAAAAAAATTGTGTCGTTTCGGCGCTCGCTCTCCCTCAAAATTAGTATTTATAATAATAATAAATTGTTTCTAAACGATATCTAGTTATGAAGTTATTTATAAAAAAATTTATAAACACAAATTAGAATCGTTTAGGGGAACACCATTAAGCCAACACGGCCCGTTTTCAGGTGTCTCATTAAGGGGAGAACAAAAAAACAATTTTTTGATCCAATGCAATGGACCTTTCTACCGGTAAACCTTTATTAAACTTAAAACCTCTCTATTCGCACCTTTAGACCATTCTCTATATTAAAAAAAAAACTTATTTCTTTTGTTTTCTCGGGTAGTCTTTTCTACCCATAGCCTAGAAACCAACAGAAACAAGTTCTACTTGTTTATTGGCGCCGAAGGCGCCCTTAGAAAAATTTTAGGATCCTTCAACTAAAAATGGATATCTCAAATTAGTGCAAAGAGGGACCTTTTAAGTCGACAGGGGTTCGAATACCTGAAGGGCGCCCCTCCCACCTAAATCCACTGGTTCAGCTTCTGATTGTTTTGCTAATTAGAACACATTATTTTGATCATAATTATAATTGATGTTTCATGAATCAATCATTACATACAGAATAATTTTACAAAATCGTTGCTAAATTTCACAATACTTGATACATCATCGATGAAATTAATGAACAAAGGGGCCCTAACACAATCCTTTGAGACACAACAATCTGTATCTTTTAATTCAAAGTATTCGGTATTAATTTGAACATAGTTTTTGTCATCTAAGTTTTTACCAATTCGAACATTTTACCTCGCAGGCCAAACAAAGCAACGGCACTTTTTTCTAAAAAACATATATCACAATTACCGTTGTCGAAAGTTTTTAAAGATCAATTCAAGTACTGTCTTTTTTATGTGCAATTTATAACTTAAATTTGACAATTTGAGTGAGCTCCACTGTGGCTTTCACATCGCTGCGTTTATTTTTACTCCCGAAATTTGGCTTTTTTCAGTTTTTTGAATTTTCAAAAATTGTCAGGCTACGTTCATGCAGTTTGTTAAATAATTTTTGCTGATGACTGACAATAGTGATTTTGGTCTTTAATTTGAGCGTATTTCATGAAAATCAGATTTGAAATTTGAAACGTATAATTTTTGCTAGTTATGAGAAGGCTGCAAAACAATTCTATTCCACATAATTGACGATAACTTTATATAATTCTTATTTTGAGATAGTTTCGTTAATAGCTTTCAAAATTTATTTGATTTACTTTCAAGTACTTTTTATTTCCATGCTCTTTTTAAATTTCTGGGTTGCATATGATATAACCATAGTAAATGTATTAGACCCTCAGTGAACTCAAATATTTCATTGAAAAAAGTTTTTTTTTTAAAAAAAAACCTCATCAACATTTTTATATATTTACCGTGGTAACAACTCGTGGTAACCCTCCAAATCGAAACTTTCGAAACATGTGTCTTATGTTGTTCAAATCTCAGTTAGTGCTATTACTACTGATTTGTCTCGATAAGTAGGAAACATTTCTCTTTCATCAAAATTTCGGGGAAATGATCTTATATTTTAAAGAAATAAAGAAATATCCATTTTCAATCTGTTTGCTTTGCAACATTTGCAATTCTTTTTCCTTACACTATAGTGAACTATACTTTTGCTCTCAAAAAAACTTTTGTTCCAAATCGCGCACAGTACAATTCTTCTCAGCACTGCTGCAAAAAAGTTTCAAAAAATATTAGGAAAAACTTTTTGATGATTTTTTAGCTTTTTAGATTTATTTTTCAAGTGCTGCGAAATACGTTAGAAATTGACACTTTCCTTACCAGCCTTTCAAATTTTGTACTTATCAGCCTTCAATGTTATGTAAAATCACCTACTTTGTGATAAGAGTGTTTTTGGTATTTGATTTTGTGTACAAAACCTACCCTCGACGGTAGTTTTTTAATTACTACATTTAGATGGCGGTCGGATGAAAAAATGTGATCCAATTTTTTAGTCGACCCCGGCTACTTAAAATGTTTGAAGAAGTGTGTTTGGAATAAGCAAAAACATCAACTTTTTGGAGCCAGCAGCTCAAGTAGTCTCCTTTTAGACGAAACTCATCTTATTGTTTTTTTTGTGTAGTTGCAATCAAATTTTTTTTTTTTTTTCAGGAGAGAATTGCAAATATTCACCAAGAAAATGTTGGAAGTTTACTCGCATAAAGACGACTTGGCCAAAGAAAAAGTGGACATCAAACCTTATCTCTCAATTCATCTGACATTTGACCTCGATTGCAAACCAAGAGTTGACCCCGAAATATCAACAGTCACCGAATCCATTATCGAGTCCCTTTCAACCATCATTTCGGCCATTACAGAAATAATCGCGCCTTTTGGATCTACAGTAAACCCTATTCTAGATGGGGCTAAAGGAGTCAAGCCCAAAAAAGGTCAAGGTCATCCGCGGGTGTCTAGTAGTACAGCAGGATCAAGGTCAACTGTTAATCTGCATCGACCCAGTGGTAGCTTGAACAGAGACTTGGACGAAGAGATGTCAACAGGAACCGCGAGGTCCCAGATGTCGGATGCTCTGCTTAATATGTCGATAGGTAAGAGGTTCATTTGACACACCGCTGAGACAAAAAAAAACTTGATTGAGGAGGAGTTTTAGTTTTTTTTGTTACTAGCTTAATTTATAATTTCAGTTTTTTTCAAATACACTTTTGTCGTGATCGGAATATTTTGTGCTGTTCGAATGGCAACTGGTTCTTCTAATAATTAGGGTTTTAGCCCAGTGGTATGTCTACTAGAACCATGAAACATGAATCACGGGAAATATTATGTGTTCTTTTTTATCCCATGATCATTATTAAGTAATTTACCTAACTAATCTTTTAATTTGTGACCCACATTCTTTTCTGAAGGTTCTGGTCTGGAAATCATAGCGGAAGGGTTCATCGGTCAGTATGAAGTTCTTAGTCAAACTGACCTCAGCCTCAAACTGGAACAGGACGAAGTTATCCAGGCACTCAAGTCAGACGTGAAAAGAATGTGGTGTGAGTGTGAACAGAGTGTGAACGAGTATTGTGATGATGGTTTGTGGGTGGTGCCTATTTGTGAGTTCATTCACAATATTGACAAAAGAGAGGCAGATAGTATCGATGACGTCATGAGGAAAGATTTGCCCGAGATTCAAAGGGTTTTGAACCAGGTTGGAATATTTGAAAACCTTGAAAACTTCCGCTTAATCCGCTTCATTGAGAAAAACTTTTGATCCCACAGTTATCGACCCGATTCAAAATAACAAAATGGGAAATTGGTGTAGAAAAAAAAGCATTTAATTAAGTATAGCCGGTTACTGTGCAAATGGCACAGAATGTTCCGACCATAGTCTTTAAAAAAAACATATATTTTTTAAAAATTAGTGTTGTTTTTTCTGTGTGGTGTCATAGTATGATCTGAACAAAAAAAAATAGGTATATTCGACACTCAATAAATAAGCTATTGCGACCCTGCAAACATATTTTTATTGACACAATCTTTTTTTTTCAAATTTTTTTCATGTTCGAATTACGACTGAAAAGGCTTTAATATGATGAATAACTCGACCCATTCCGATGATTATTTGTGTTACCTGATTTTGTGAGAAAAAAAACTAAAATACATCCGAACACAAAGTTCCTCAATATTTTTCAGTTTGTCGGAACAAAGAAGTAGGCATAAATATATTTTTTCAAATAAGTAAAATTTAGTGCCTCAAATTGAATTGACTTCAGACCAAAAGATGGATTGAGCAGTTGGAGACATCTCTAGACTTGGAGTGGGTCTCGCCTGAGCTGCTTCTCAAGGTCAGACAAGACACAGTTCACGTGTACATGATTCCGAGATTGAACGAGTTCATCGAACAGGTGTCCGCGCAACTGTCCAAAAGGGCAATGGGTATTTGTGAGGAGCTCACGCAACAGGCTAATCTGATGGCTGAGTTTTTGCACACGGCAAGTGACATGGGTGTGGCAGTGTTTGCTGGATACTTGAGGTAAGCAAAAACATAAGTAAACAAAATCAACTTCAAGTAAACTGCGCAAGTAGCATTAAAACTCTCGAAAGGATTATCGAACTTAAAAAATATACATTTTTTTGCTTTCTTATGATTTTTCAATATTATGTGTCACTCAAACTCGCACGACGTGTCTGTGTGGTACGTGCAGTGGAGCACAACCGAACAAGAGTTTTTTTTTTCATTCTTTATCGGACAAAAAAAAGCTTTTTAGAGAATTGGTGCTAGCAGTCCAAGGCAGCTTAGCAATATTTTTGGGCGAAGTAAAAAATTGATTAAAAACAGAATTTTGTTCATTGTTCGATTAACTGGATTATATTAGATTTCTTTCGCATATGAAAATCACTTATTTAAAACAACGTGTCCGCAAATAGAACGCCCCGCATTGAATGTATTCTGCGCATAATGCCTATGAACATTCGGATAACACGTTTTTGTGTCGGGATTTACTGGTAAATAATTCTAGCGAAGTGAACCGTGCCAAAGTTCAGCTGGGTGAGGCGAGGCCCCGTCTGGACCATGCCCACTCCTGTCTGCAGACCATCAAGCTCTGCGTCAGGGCACTCACGGAGGAGGAGCTGAACTCAGTGAGAGCAGTTGAGAGCACTCTCTCTGTCGCCCAAAAACAGCAGGTACGCTCTAAAAAAAGATTGTGAAATTTTATCCCAAAAAAGCGGTCGTGAGACGAAAAAAAAAATCATGTTTAAAACACGTGAAAACAGCTGGAGGTTTTTCATTGGTATTTTTGTCAGGGTCGGAAGTTCTGTTTTTTTGCTTAAGTACTATAGGCCTTACAACAATAAATACCAATTACCTTGCCAGGGTCGGAGGCTCTGTTTTTCTGCTAAACTATGTTTATGGCTGAGTTAACCAGTGTCAGCTGCAATTCTGGCTGTTTAATTACTCTCCTCAATTTAGAATGGCGCTAGTGAGTTTGTGCGCAAGAAGCGACTGGAGATGGAGGTGTTGGTCCGGTCTGAGTTCCAGAAGAGAGAGGAGGAAGTGAGGGCCATTCTGGCAGAGAGCCAATCAGGCAAGTGGAGCAAATGGAAAAACATATGCTTTCATTTTGCTTTTTTTCTCGCCTTTTGTGAACTTTTATATCAAAACTTGTTTTGCGCAGATTTTCTAAGATAATAGAAACAACAGAGCAGCAACGAGTCCTCACGCAAAATTCTGAATTTTGATTGGCTGGAAAATATAACTTTTTACCCATTTTTTGAGCCTTTAAAGCTAGCAGGGGGTAAAAAAGGTAGAACTGGGAGGAAGGGCTTACAGGTAGGGAGGGGAGGGGGGGTTAATTGAAGTGATTGGGTGCTAGAAAAATATAAACTGTTAAGATACGATGCATCCTTGATTTTCCTTTCACCTAATTTACTGGTCTTTTACACTACCATCAATTGATTAAGTGCTAAATGTATTAATATTATTATCAGCCTTTTCATGAATACAGGAAAGTGGTCGTTGATTTGGAGATCACCATGATCTGCGCTTGTTGCTAAGGAGATTAAGGCAACATTTTCCAGACCAGAAAAACCGACAATTAAACTGCGTGTTAGGTCTTTCAAAGGGTTTTCCGTTTTAGTACTTTCCCTCATGGATTAATGATCTTTTATTTTTTTATTTGTTCAGAGCAGTTCGTCACTTTGAGTGATTCAGGAGAGGCGGGGGAGACCTCGCAGGCGATGAAGAATGTCAAACAACTGGACGTTCTGAGAGACAAGTGTCTCTACGCTGTCAAGTTGGGAGTGGCTGAGGCCAAGTACTTGCAGGTTCGGACGAGGTGTTTTCTTTGCCGAAGCAATTCGGGTACAAGATGTTATAATTGGGCTCAGCATTTTCTTCTGTTTAGCATACAAGTTTTATGTTTTCATTAGAGAAATTTTCAGGCTCAGCTTTTGAACATTCAAAATAAATTTGTGATGCCAGCCCGTTGCTATTACAAAGGTCTGTTATTTTTACAACATTGCAGACTTTTTGTTTCAAATTGATTAACATTTTAGAAAAATATCCAAAAATGAATTAAATTCTTTCTCTCTTTTGATCACAAACTCTGTGCTCAAACCTCAGCCAAACATTGCGAGAAAAGTTGTAGCATGCAAATTTTTTTAATCTCAACGTCCAGGTTGAGTTTTTCACACAAAAATTCAGAAATCACTATAAAGTGTTTTTCAACCACGCACAGTATTTTCGACACAGTGTTTTTTATTTGTCTGTGGGATTTCTTAGAGATTTTCCTTGGTTATTAGTTTTCGGACAAAACCCAAAACTTTCCACGGGAACGCAAAATGTTTTTGGATTTTCAGTTTGGGGTGTTTCAGATCATAAAGAGTGACGATGGCCCCCCAGGGACGAGGGGTTATAGTAGTGGAAGTAAGGGGGGTGGTGGGGATCTGCTGGAGGGGGGAGTGTTGTGGGATATGTACAGGCGGGTGGAGGCGAGGAGGGAGCTGTGGAAGTTCCTCCAAGTGGCTCACTCCATGATCACAGAGTGGACTCACTTCAAGTTCAGACTTCTCAAAACTCACAAGGTATAATAACTGCTGGGACCAAATGAACAGTCTCCCCCTAAATCAGTTTACGGGGGAGATTGTTCACTTGGTAAAAAGTAATATTTTTCAGTTAAACAGATTTGAGCATAGTACATGCAGGCCAGCATACTGCTTGAATTTGTTGTTTAATTTTTGGGGGAGATTGTTCACTTGGTCTGCTCAGAGGGATGATTGTTCAACTGCTGTACAATTTAAATGCTGTACATAACTTAAAACATTAATTTTGATGTTCCTAACCTCTAAAAACAAGAAAGTGAACAAATGAGGTTGCGGTGGTTCTGGGATTTTGCTGAAGCAGGGTTTTTTAAGTCGACCAAATTTGAAGTAAACTTACAATATTGTGAAGAAAATTTTACAGAACAAGTATGCATCAAATAATCAGTTTTCGGACACTTTTTGTAGGTTTCGATAAACAAGTTGGATTTAGTTTCTTTGGAACCCCATAGTTAATTATAGCCATTGCCATTCAAAAGTCTCATGCAATTTGCCATTCAAAAGTCCCGTTGAAAATCCCAAGCAGAATCTCCGACATGCTTTTTTGTGACAAGTTTTTTTGCTTTTTTTGATCTGCTGCAGTTTCAATTCCGAGGGGAATATGTGCCAATCTGCTTCAAAAAATGTTAGTTTTCTTTTTCGACACAGTTTAAAATCAGGTGGCCTTCTGCTAGTTGTACTTGCTAATTGTACAAGCTAATAAAAACAGGTAATTTTTTCGGCGTCATGATACTTTTTTTCTATCAGCTTCAACAGTCAGAGGGGTTCTATATACTACATATACTTCACCTCGAAGAAATCACAAAATTAACTGATTTCGACGTAGAATAAATAATACTGTAGTTATTTTTTAGCAGATAACCCTAAGCTGAAGTTGTTTGTTAATTTAAGAAGTTGACCTTTTTTCAGGTGCGAGCTAAACTATCTCAGTGGTCTGACTCGATATCAGAGATCCGTCAATACATCCCCGAAAATGACCCGATTTTACTGGAGATGTTGAAGAAGATGGATTACATAACTGAGTTGGTAACGGCGGTTGAATTTATTCAAGACGCATGCAACGACAGGAAGACATGGCGAGAGGCGGTCCAGAAGGCCACGCAAGATGAAGATATTATAGATTTGCAAACAGTTCAAGACTTGATTAAATTTGAATTAACCGGGAGAAATTTATCTCTATTACAATGTTCAAAAAGCTGATAAACTAATCAATCAATCGCGAAATCAAAATAAATTACTATATTTTTGTTCTTTTAAAAAAACTCTCTTTCGTTTTTTTTGAACTTGGAGTTATCTGAAAAACCGGAAACGAACATTACACATAATGTTCGATTTTGTTAGAATGTTTTTGCTGAAAGATTTTCATTCAACAAAAAATACATTTAGAAGTGTTCGTATAAAATTTCGGCCAATCGTTTTCAGCTTCAAAGTCGTCAGCAGTTTCTTTGATGCCTCAAACTGTTGGCCGTTCGGCACCGGTGACAAAATTATGTCCTTCCTCGCGGAGCATCCCGGCCAGACATTCGGTTAAGTTTCATGTCGCGAGATCCAGTTTCGGGATAGCGTGAGGTAGCGAGTAGCCCTCGTATATCGTCACTGTCGCCGATGTCTAGCTCGCATCCGGTGAGCAGCCGTGGCTGACTGCGTATCACGCGCGGCCTTTAACTCAAAGGTAGTGGGTTCGAATCTCCTTCGGGAGCTACTCTGAGCTCATTGTAGAAAGTGTGACTCCAGAACTTTTACATTTCATCCCAATTTGTCACAATTCCATGACTTATAGGGCACTTGAGCTTCGTTTAGCTTGACAAAATGCTTCTCTAGCTTGAGATTTGTCGCCAATGCAGTTGAATTTGGATCGACCGATGATTGAGGGAAAAGTTGCTCTGGGGTAATTGTCGCCTGCAAAACCAGCTTTGACCATCCTCGATTCATTGTCAATTAACAGAGATTGAACTAGAAGATCATCAGAATAAGTAATTTTTGCGCGATACTTGAAGAAAACGTTCATTCCTGAGTTTGAAGGTTAATTTGAAGAAGAACTGAAAAATTTCCAATTAAACTGATATTCCCAGGCTTCGTGCCTTTTTCTTGTTTCAAAAAAGATGATCGATTTTTTAATGAATTTATTTTGATTTGAGATATTTTTTTACATGTAGATGGAGTTGTGACATATGCAGATTTGACATTTGACATGGAGTTTTCATGGAGATGTTTTGTAACTCGAAAAAACATGAAAAAACTGCCAAATTTGACAGAAGTTGAACTTTGATCGCTAAAACAACGTCATTTAGGTAATAGGTTACAAGAATCAGTATTGCCTTGATAAATATTATCTAGAATACGACTTTTAAAATCTACAACCATCTAAACAGGCATTTGAGAAATGATTGATAGTTACTGCGGGGCAATTTTTCTAATCTTTTTGAATAAGAAAAAGGTTGATTCTACAATAACACCCCAGATCAAAACCATAGTAATACTTTGCGCTTGCAGCTGTGTGCATCTTTTTGCACCAAGTATTCTCAAAGATTGGTAAGTACTTACGAAGTTTGGTGGTTTTTGTCCAATTTCAGATATTCTCCTTATGCAACCGGCAGCGCATTATTAGATAAAACACCACCCAATCTTGATTTGAATTTCACAACAGATATATAAAAAAAACAAGGGCAACAGATATTTGAAAAAATATCAATGAACGCAAGGAAACAAAAAGAGAGCAGTGACTTGTTTTTTCTTTCAAAAAAACTTCAACTTTAGAGGTTCAAAAAATAATACTTTACATTTACAGCTATTCGAAATTCACAAACAATCTATGATTGAAACAATTTGATAAATTAATCCAATTTGAGAGAACTGGATCAATATTTTTTTTTTATTCCGCTGCGGGAAATCTAAAAAACAGAATCTACTTTCGAAACTAGAATTCGTCCGTGAATAAATTGTGTTAAAAGAAGCACAAAAGAATTTCTCGACAGATAAGTGTTTCCATTATGTTCATTATCACCTAATATATCTGAGTTAAGGCTAAGAATAAAGGTAATCCGAAACCTATTATTATAGGTTTTATAGCTTATTTTAAGCAAAACAAGTCTGTTCATATCACGGGGAATCCCTGAACATGCTGACTGCCCATTAGTGTCTGCCCCAAAAAAAGTTTAATTAACAAAAGTGGAATCCGAAACACAAAATTATGTAATTTTTTCTTCTTTTTTTTCAATCATATCTCATGCCCTTAAAAAGTGATTTTGCTATAGTAATGTAACTCTTAGGATAAATAGCGTTAAATACGATAACAAAGTTCTCCAACATATGCCCAATTTTCGGGAAAACCAAAAAGACAAAACGAAAGCTTGGATTTTACCAATCCTTTGCATTTAGGATCATCTGCTCTGATATATGCAAAATTTATTTTTCGAAAAAATTGAAAACTTCAGGAGGCAACAGTAGTTTTTGCCTCTAAAATTAAAACCGATAGAAAGAATTTACATTTTTGGTTATAAAAATGTGCCAAACAGTTCCTACAGATGAGTAAAAGTGTTTTATCTCCCCTCTCCTGTAGTAGCATAAAGCAGATCAGCAAAGTTAACGTGTTATAGATTCCGGCTTAACTTTTGAGCTTGTAACGGAGCCAAATGATTTTCGAGCTCTTCTGTTCATGATTGTAGGTTTCCTAGTACAATTGCTGCCCGCATATATTATCGGCCAAATTTTTCAGCCCAAATTGTCAGCCGTGTGTTTCGATGAGCAAAACTAAAAAGGAGAACAAAAGGATGTTGGAATAATTTATTTGTTTTCTATGAACCGTAAGTCCTCTTTAAGGAAGTTTTTTTTTGTGAAAATCTTGTCCATTGTTCTCCTCTTTTCCAATGCTTCTTAGATTATCTTAAAAAAGCCTTTTTCGAAACTTTTTGGTCTTTTCTCGTCAAAGTAACTTTGTTCGTATAAAGATTATGGAGAGAGTGTTGGGTGACTCTGACAATTTCAGTGGAATGTCTGAAGATTTTCCTGATTGTTCGACAAAGTTTGTAGTGCTGATGCTCAGGACAGAGATGGGAAATGATGCCAGAGGGTGAGCGTACTCTCTCCACGAGTCCGAATACTGATCAGCATACAGCTTGCATTACCAAGATGCAAGAGCCAGCAGTGTTGATTCAGCAGAGGCAAGACAATCAAAACATTTTGTGGTCCCACCTGGCTCTAGTGCGGTACAACATCACTTTGATGAACATAAAGAAGAACTGCATGGGAACAGATGGCTATGGTGGTTGGAAGAAGGCCTAGAAGCTGCTTCAAGAGAAGTATTGCAGTGTAGAGAGGCCGATGGTGGTCAGTCTAGTGGGTCACCTTGCGAAGCTGCGCCTCAGATCAGAGGGGGATATCGATGACTACTTCGTTCGCAGCCAAAAGCCGATTACGCGGTTAAGCAAAGCTGGAGAAGCAAGCATGGACATATTAGTCAATACTTTGTTGATCAATGGGTGCCTGGCAACTTTGAGCAAGTTGTGGCGCAGAAGAGCTTTGAACCAGCCGAGACATTTCCAGAGCTGAGAGCAAGGCTTAAGAGCTACGATGACTCGAGCGAGACTCAATGTGGAGAGAGGAGTGGGGATGGTCACAGAACCATGCAAGCTGCGAGGAAAAAGAAAGGAGTGTCAAGTAGTGGCTGCTATATTTGCGGTCGGAGGGGTCATATGGCGAGGAACTGCAGATCCAGAAACAGTGGACAATGTGCTACATCTTGAACGAAGGGATATGGGATATGGGGTGCACTGATCATGTGGGTCGCGACACAGTTGTCTTTTCTAGCTTTGAGATCTGGAACAAAGGGACACTTGCTGTTTGTTCCGAGCTACAGTGTTTACCTGTTGTGTGAGATCAGCAGTGACTAGAGAGTCAAGCTTCAATTTTGCTGCAGATGTTTCCCATCTACTGGCACCAGATGGGGGATAGCTTTTTGTGAAGCAGCGTGGCAGGCTTTTCTTCCTGGAGTGCAAATTCAGGAAGAGCCCAATGAATCTAGTGCCGAAGACAAAAAGGGATATCAGTGGAACAGAAGCCGTGGGACCGACAACTTGGGCACCCGGGGAAGCAGGATCCTTAATTGGTTGTCAATGTGGGCGCGATCTAAATTTCCGAGAATTATGAAGTACCAGTGCCAAAGAATACTAACGGCAGATTATATGCGGTGGGGCAACGGGTATTCAGTAACGTCTAGGGGTCATTTAAAGTACTGAGCAGGCATCGGGCACGCTGCTTCTTATGCTTCAACAACGACTTCAATCGGCAGGCTGCGGTCAAGTACATGATGAAGAAGAGAGATGCTCTACTGAAGTTCCAGGAATTTGTGGCCGAGTATGTAGCACCGAGTGGCCTGCGGACTGACAATAGATCAAGTGAAGCAAGATTCGATTTTGCCTAATACTCCTGAACAGAACGGTGTAGCAGAGCGCTACAACAGAAAGATCATCCGGATGATTCGATGTCTGCTGGCCGAAGCAAAACTACCGAAAAAGTTCCCAGTGCGGGCATTGTCGACAGCTGTGAGGGTAGCAACTTGTGTCCCACATCCAGCAACGAGATACGCTTTTCGCGGATGGGGATTCACTATAGAAGAACACAAATAAGAGCTATTTATGTTTGTTCGGTTGCCTGGCGTACTATCTGGATTGAGGCAACCGACTGCCAATGGAGGCAACCATAGAGAGGCGTCGTAATCGAAACTGGATCTGAAGGGCAAGGAAACGAAGTCCATTCGCTAGGAGGAGGAGAGCAAAACCTACTTGCTATCGCATCCAGAGACAGGACGGGTTTTTCGAGCATGTAGCGTGACATACAATGAGGGTATCATTCCAGACGATTTCATGATTGACACAGAGCCATTGCAAACCCTGGAGTCATCAATCGAGGGGCGCATTGATCTTGAGCAACCAAGCTTGTCAACGACCAGCGAAACATCAAGCTAAGCAAAAAAGGCCGGATCTTCTAGCCACTAAGACGCCGCTCTCTCGTTTGGTAGAGAATTCGGGCAGAGCGCACTAGGTGGCTGCGATAAGAGTTTTTCGTTACCTGAAAGGGAACAAAGATCTGGAGCTGTTGGTGTAAAACGCTGGTGGTGTAAAATTGTATGGACTGGATATGCTGATGGGCTGGATATGTGGTGGCATCAAGGTGAAGTACTGGTTACATGCATTACTTGCAGAAGACAGGGGCATCAATCAGTTGGAGCAAC